CACACACACACACACACACACACAACGTCCAAATGGGAATGACTCTTCAATTTGCACGTTTTTTTTTGCATTTCCAGTGTGGTGTCACTACTCTCTCTCTCTCTCTCTCTCTCTCTCTCTCTCTCTCTCTCTCTCTCTCTCTCTCTCTCTCTCTCTCAACGTCCAAACGAGAATGAATCTTCCACGTAGAGAGAGAGAGAAAGAGCTCCCCCACGTCTGCTCGAAATTGCGTTACATTAACCCAAAGTGCTACGTAAAAAGTGAGAGTAAATCCTGGGAAATTTTTCGAAATGCCCCTCCAACTTCCATTATTAGCAGTATGCCCCTCGGACGGCCGACTAGGCCTGTCGTGCCCTAGGGCCTCTGAAGTTTTCCTGCAGGCCCCTGTCAGTGAGGGGTGCAATTTCCAGCATACCCCGTTGACCGGCGGTGGCACTTGCTACTGTTCCCCTGGCCCTGGGAGGGAAGCTACCCGGGCATTCTGGAAATTTGGAACCGGTACCAGCAGGGGCATATTGAACATATGTCAGATCCAAACGATGCCAGTGTTTTTTTGGGAAACTCCAGTTGTTCGCAGAGGGCCGTGACGGGGTCGGTCGACTGTCAGAGGGGCGTACTGCAAATAAATGGAAGCTGGAGTGGCATTTCGAAAAATTTCCCTAAATCCTGAGCTTCTCCCCCCCCCAAAAAAAAATAGGAAACCTGAGCTTAGAAGTGCAGCGGGTGGCTGTAGTGCAGGCAAACACATTTTTCGAAAGTGCTAATGGGAGTATGCCCTAAGCTTTGAAGCTCAGCCGCTGTGGTGCGAAGTATCCTTCTAGTTGCTCTAGTCCTGAGTAAGGATGACACCCGTAAATCAAGAAACGGATTGCAGTATTCTTGTAGCTCCATTCCCACCTTCCGGGTGAAAAATGTTTAGAGGCTGTTTGGAGGGTGGTATTGTTTCTCTGGGAACTTGGAACCTTTGCACAGGGTCCAGGACCCACTAGCTTGGTATTATACGCTGGAAAAGTGGTGTGTCATGCGGTTTTGGCATTAAGAAAATGGTTTCCAGAACTTCTTCAGATTTAAAAGACTCATTTTCTACGATTTATAACAAAGCCAATGAGCTGGGAGCCATCGAATTGGTCGCCTCGTTTTCTGGATGAGGGATCAATTCAGCAAATGATCGAGCGTGTGATAAGCCAGGATCCACACTTGGCGGTTTCCCATACCCCTAAGGGAAAATCCCACGCAGAACCCCGAAGTACGGATTCAAGATATTGGGGAAAAATGGTGCTCCAATTTTTTCTCTTCTTTTTATTCTTTTTTCTTCTGTTTAGGAGGGGCGGAATAGAAAATGTAATTTGGGTCTTGTGTGGCCGGTTAGCGGCCAGGCCAAGAAATTCAAGAAACAGTTGGGACTAAACGGGAGTAGGAATTTTGAATTTTTGGGCACACGGCGGTTTTTTGAATTTTTGTGCACCGTGTAAGTCTGTTCCCCGCTCTGCATCCCCGCGCCATCTTCCCTTCTTGCTGAGCATCTCCCGCCTGCATGTCTCTTTGTCTTCCCTCTAAGCGGAGTCCGATCCCCTCCTTCTCCTTTCCCTATAAACAATTGGTTGTTTGATTGGGATGGTCGGGGCAATGTGGTGGCCGCGGGAAGCGCACCCCAATTGGACTATCACCACCCCAATCACGCAGAACATTCGACTCGCTTCCTTCGACCCTTCTGGAACGCATGCCCCTCTTCTGTCCTGACCATCTACAGCCCGATCTTCACGAAGTCTCTCCGCCGCCTTCCGCGCTATAAATTCCCGCAATCCTTTCCTCTCACTCTCCTTCATCTCAGCTGCAAGCTACCCAAGCTATGTGTGAAGTCCGCGGAGCCGGAAAGGCTCGACGTGCCCCGTGAAGGGCGGAGTGACGGTGGGTGGCGGAGTTGGAGGTAGACTTGGAGTAAGGCGGTCGGAGGGACTGAGCAGTGGTGGAGATCAGACGCCGGCCGCGGCAGGGCCTTGTGGCTATGGTTGTCAGCGGTTTGACGGATTGGGGACTGGGCTCGGAGCGGCCAGTTGAGGGGATTCTGTATTTTTGAGACGAAGCTCTTTTTCTCCATTGCTGCTTTGTCGCTGTGTGATGTGTGCATGACGCCCAAGGTTGGGTGATCTGTTATGGTTGTCGGGTATGAGGGTCTACAGATATTAAATGTTCCATTGAAGGCTCTATGGGTATGTGTGTGTGTGTGTATGTGCCTTTGGGCCTGATGAGCGGAAGTATCGAGTGTCGATTGAGGGCATGAATGCGTTGGTCCTTCCTGTCTGCCTTTCTTTTGATTAAGTGCGCGAGTATGTGTGACCCGCTGTCGAGCGCATCGGTCCCACACGGGGACCCTCCCGGCCACGTCACGCAGGATTATGCAGGACTTGTCGCGGAGAGCATTTGCCGCTCCGTTCGAGTGCGCCAGCCGTACCTCTCGTGAGCCCCT